AATGATATGCAATAGGCTAGAAGAATGATGATAGATAGATAGATAGATAGATAGATAGATAGATAGATAGATGATGGATGGGTTGAATATGAGAGTGAATGTTCAAGAGTCAGTGTCCATAATTGTTCAGAATGCTTCTGATAATTCTGTATGATCAAATTGTAACATTGGTTCATCAGTAATAATCCAGGTCTGTGTGCTGACATTACTCTGGTTCCTGCCTTACTTACTGATCATTCCCAAATTACATTTTCTAATGATCTTAGTAGCGTCCAAGCTGAGCCTCTCACCTTCTAGTATAAGAATCTGCCCTCTTACGTGGTAAGCTTCTTTCCAAGTTGTGAAAGGACTTTACTTCCCCCGTTAGCCAAATCATGGCAATTAAGAGATAGCACTCCATGCTTGCCTGCACCAGACTCATTCATGGATCATCTGTATGTGAATTGGCTTCCTGCATGTAGGAACCTCGAATCCAGAACCCAGCCAGAGAAGGAGGATGCTCTATCAGAGTCTGAGCTTGGGATGGGCTCTCAGCTTTCTGATCCCACACTCCGTTTCCCACTCATGTGAGCAGCATCCTCCAAGGGAAAGTGCCATAGAACACTAAGACTTTGAGAGTCTCTTGGTTCAGACCTGAGTTCTATCTTCTCTCAGTCTTCCACACCTAAGAGCCTTGGGTACAGAAGATATGAGCAGCTGACCTCACCTTACTCATGCTGTGTCCTCCAGAAGGTACACAGATGAGTTCAGGGGCCAAGTCAAGGGAATAGAATCAGTTGTGTCATCTCCTTCCACAGATGCCAAACTGGGCCATGCTTAAGTGAGCCTGCCTAGATTACTACTTAAGTCACCTCCCTCTACCCTCATCAGTGAATGTGCCTGCTTCCCATGGAAGCCACCCTACTTCCAAGTCTAATTCATGGCCTTGAACTACTTGAAGCTGTTGTTCCTTGTCTTGTCACAGTACTTTCACAGCAGCACTGTATTCTTATCCCCATTTCACAGATGGAGGAGCTAAAGAATGGAACAATTAGGTCACCTCCTCAAGGTCATATAGCTGAGAAGAGGCAAAATCCCAATTGCCAACACTGGCCCTGAATTCCATGTGACACCCCTTCTCAGCTGACGTCATTTCTTCTCTTGTCCAGTGGTCTTTTTAAAAAAATGTTCTTTAACTTTCTCCAATCTTCTACTCCCTCCATTCAGTATTTCTTTCTACTGTTTTCAGATCTCTTCCTATTGCCCCAAATATTTCATGATGATGGAGATGATCTATCCAGACAAATGATCGAAAGGCTTTGCTTCTAGACCCTGAGCTTCTTTGATAACATTTCCTACTTGGGTCATTTCGAGCCTTTCTCCCATCTGATGTCTCTGTAAAGCAGAACTGTGACAGGGATAGTCTGTCATCCTGGGCTACCAGCTTCAGTCATGATTTTTTTTTTCTTACTTCCCTGAAGGATTAGCAGAGATTGTGACCTGAATACACAGTCAAAAATCATCTTGGATTTTCATCTCTTCTTTCTCTCACTAAGCAATTGCTTAACTTCTCCTCTGCTATGTCTTGAGAGATATGCTGGCACCTAGTAATAAAACAGATCAAGAGATAGGTTTCTGTCTAGAGGGGTAGGGCTTCTGTCCTTCCTAATTTTACATTTGAGTTTTTGTACCTGTCACTTTACCTTCCCAATAGGTTTTGAGGTTTATTCACCTACATCTGAGAAAGATAATTTAAATGTGTTTTTGTTACAGAAGAGTACATTGACAGAAAAAGGATACATCATTTTTAATGAATATGATTCAGTCAAGTCTCCTCTCATTCAACCTTCTCAATCCTAGGATGTTAAAATTAATCCCAGTTAAATATAAAATTCACATTTTAATTACTAGAATGTCTGGCTTGGGTCACCAATTTATGACCAAAAGAAAAAAGGAAATAAAAACCTTTATGTTTGTCTACATGTCCTTTATTTACAGTGCTGCCTGGTCTTTCATTTTACAGGGCATGGTAGAAGGTTTGGGAAATAGAAGTTAATGATTGTTGCTGCAGTGTTCAGACAGCTTCTATGTCTCCTCTGTCCTATGCCCAGCCACTGACTGGGAAAACCACCTCTCATTTTCCAGACTTGTCTGTCGGCATCTGAAGCCTTCATGGTGACCCACTTGGTTGTATAATTTGTAGGTAATTTTCAAGCCAGAGTGAACCACAGGCACGTCTCACTGTGTGGTCCAAAACAGCTGGACTATGCAATATTTGCCTCATTTTCACATGCCAGGAAAAGAGCAGGGAGCCATAAAACTGTGTACAAAGTTACATCAAAACTGCATTGCCATCCACTGAAGCCATTTCCCAGCCAGAGACTTCCCAGGTCAAATGCAAAAAGAGATAATTTAAAGACTTGAGGGGGATTTCTATCTAAAATTCTTCCAAACAGGTTATAGGTTTTATTATCTGGGGGCAGAGCACTTTCAAAATAATTATAAGTAGCTAACAAAATCGCCCATATGCAAGTAGCATTTTTCTCTAAGAAAGATACCTGATACTTACATGATCCCTGTCGCTCATACTCAATGCAGTCACCACATTGCTAATATGGAGTAATGATAGAGAAGCCTGTTTACATTGAATAAAAAAATTGAATTGCAGAGTTCTATCTGATGCTGGCCTGGTTGGATCCTGTTACTATATGAGAGAGAGAGAGGTCTTCTTTGATCACCAGAGCCCCAGCCTAGGACCCTTCAATATGACCTTTAGAGAGCATCTTTAATAATCTGGAGAATTCTCTCGAGTACTGAAGACTGGCTGAACAGGCCTCTCCTGTATGTGGCATAGCCTTGGAACTGACCACAGAAATGGGGCTTTCAAAATAGTGCAGTCCAAATCGATAGTATTGATATATTATCAAGAGATAATGAACTATGTTAAAAATTAGATTTTTAAAAGGCACAATAAGCACGCCAAGATTAAAGTCTTACTAATCTTCTTTAACATTGAATACAATAAATTTCTCAGGCGATCATGGCCCTGAAAATAACTCTGTGACACTAAAGTCAACCTAATTAAAGCCCCTCTACCATTGAACTCCAAACTCAATCAAGATCCCACTGTCAAGATCAAGAGCCTAAGGATCCTGAGCCTAATCGAGGAGAGCACTAGAAATTACTCAGGGTGGAAGGTCGTCTTTATCACACGTCACACCTCTCAACAGACTACATAAAAGAAAATCAGCAGGTCAGTCCAGACAGGCTCACCTGCCATTGGTTTGTCACCAACGTTTACACGCTCTAACCGATGCACATTCACATCTGCAAACCACACCTGAAAGAAACAAAACCAATGATGTCCACTTTGTTGACGTTAACCAGTAGCACATCTTGGAAAGGCTGCAGAACTTTCTCTGTAGTCTTTGTTCTTTGCAGAATCTGTGTGCTAGGCCTGTTCCTTCAGCTTACTTTATGATCCTTCTAACCTGTAAGAGAAAAAAAAGTCACTGGGGTACAATCTTTTTTCCTTTTATTCAGATCCAGATGTGTAGTTTTGAGTTTTTTCTTCCTCAAGTAATTTTGTTGCATACATTTTTAAAACTTCAGACTCTCAGCTGAGGATTTTTCCTCTTCTGAAGCCCACTCTTTATCCGTCCGTGCTCTATTCTCTCATGTTCTGTGGTATCGCTGTGATATCAGTCTGGCTCATAGTTTATTTGCTTCCCATTTAGCCACGAGGTATTAATTTGCTAACTGTAAAGGCGTGCTCTGACAGCTGGTCTCAGTGTACGTCCAAAGGCTGAGCTGGCTGCACTGGAAAATTTCCCCAGAGAGTACTCTGTAAAATGTGGATCCATTTGTTGAGCCGTCTGATATGGAAGAACAAAGAATCTACCTTACAGAAATGGGCTCCCAGGATGCCTCTCGGAGCAGACAGAGAAATCAAAAGACGGCTTCTGGTCCACTTCCATTTTGATGCTTGTCCTTGGGAACTAGGCCATCAGAGATATTTTCTTGTGATATTTTTCAAGAAGCCACTGAGTGATAACTCCCAAAGAAGATGCTATGGCAAGTTTAGTGATGCCTGCAGGCTGTGCTGGGAAATTATCACCAACCCAGAACTTGTCTGTCTGTCTGTGTCTGACACATGCAAGTCCTACATAGACTTATAACAATGTTTGGAAACAAAAGGGAACATACATTACATACATGATTCCAAGGTCCAAAAAGGCATTCAACAAAATGAAAGATTGTTAAATATTTGACTAAAGGTCTAAAATAGTCAATAGCAACCTTATTAAGTACCAAATGTATATGTCTTAAAAATAATATCACACATTGGGCTGGAAAAATGCATTAGCCTAGGAAAATGGCTCAGCTGTTAAGAGCACTGGCTCTTCTTCAAGAAGTCCCCAGTTCAGTCCTAAGCACACGCACGGGGTGATAATCCTGGTCTTTGATCCAGCAGCTTAATTTCTTCAGGTGTTACTTCACTCACCATATGTGGGGCAATGGATAGAAACTCCCTCCAAACATGGAAGGTGCCATTTCCCTGGAATCCCAGCACTTGGCAGTAACCGTTCACAACGCTAAGTCTTGAAGAATCTTTTCCTTTTCATACACTACTACTTTGATGAAATGAAGTAATAAATATGATTTTAAAAATATTTTTGTACTTAATATATTTTCCATTTCAGTGTGTGTGAATTCATCTCATCTATTTTAATGATTCCGTGGTATTCCACTGTGCATGAATGGGCCATAATTGATGTCATTGCTTTTTATTACTGAACATCATAGTTGGGCATTCAAGTTTGACTTTTCAAGGGAATGAGTCACATATCTAAGTAAACCATTAATATAGACTAGTGATATATACTGTGTGCACCTGTTTTGACTTAACTCATACCAGGAGTAGAAATAGCCATCTCTGTATTGGGGATTGTTATTGAATGTAAAGCCAGAATGGAATTTGTTATTTATTTCTTTGTCTTTTGTCTTTTTCTTCTATGCAGTCTTCTACATCTGGGGACAAGGAAGAGCCGACTTTACCGGTAGGGAACAGTAGCCCTGCCTTTTCCTGTGCCTGTGGAGTGTGGCATGGCTGGGGAGGGAGCTCTGTGCTTGCAAATCTTCCTCTCCCTTGGAATACTTGTGGTTTGATACACTGGGGGGTGGGGGTATTTCTATCCTACAATTAGCAACAAAGTAACTCTGGCATTTGCTCACAAACTATTTCTGATCTTATGTTTCAAAATGTTGAATCCCACTGGACATGAACTTTTATACATGTTGAAGGCATAAGAAGTGTCTAAATTACATTCCAAGGGATGTTGGCTGATACATGGGGACAGTATGGAATCCAGTACTTGAGTACTGTTTTCTTTGTGTGTCTGCATGCAGAGTCCTGTTTGAAAAAAAAATGCTGCATGTGATGTATACATTCAGTCTATCCAACACTGCCTGAAAGAATGCTTAATGTCTTCGAAGCATAGACATAATTCAAGTCTAAAGAAGATACTCACAGCAGAGTTCTTGTGGTTTTCCAGAATAACAACCACAGTGCCCATGATTATAAGGACAAATCGTTAGCAATGACCATATTTTCAGTTGCTTTCTAATTAACACATGACATTTCACATTGTGCTGCCTGGCACGGAAATAACCTTGTGAGTTTTTGTGTCCAACAAACAGTTAATGTGTTTCCATTACATTTAAGCCTGCTACCTTTGCCCCTAGAATGTTTTGAACTTTGCTGATCTGTATCCTCTATAACTAAATGCTATGCTACATTTTAAAATGTTACAGGCTTTTAAGGTTGAAAGGAATAGTCATGAAAATATTTGTGACCCTGTAAATACTTCCTCCCATTAACACTCAGAGCAAAGACATGACATTCACTGAGCGCCCAGAGGATAAACTAAACTCAAGACCAAGGTACAGCTCAAACTCCACGCTGCCTTTGAAGAGCTCAGAATGTTTTCATCACTGAAACACAAATATCCTCCTTCGTTCATCTTCAAACTCTGCTGGGTTGGGAATTCAGCTTTAATAGAACATCAATTATAATAAAAATCACTGTTGATTTCTCCTCCTTATATGACATGCTGAGACTTCACCCATACTTCAATTCTGCAACAGGTTTTAGGTTTACCACCAAAGTTTTGAACCTTGACCCTTAATAAGTATTATCTGGAGTAAAAAGCATATAGTTAATAACTTGGAAATACTGCCTCGGTGGTCAAAATTACCATAATCTTTTGTGTTACACTGGGTTGATGGCTGACATAAATCTCGATGAGTTCTCCGTGAGTTGAGTTCTCAATGAGTTGTTCTAGACAATATCAGTTTGTCCAAATCTGTTTAATTATGGAATCTCTTATGGGAAATCGGTGATGGAGAAGTTTGGAAGACTTGGTGAAAATGTTTTCATTTTAATTTTTAACTAAAAATCAGAGGATGGGTTTCAATTTTACCAGACCACAGAAAATTTCCTTGTCAAATTCAGTTTAAAAAAAAAAAAAAGTACCATTAACTCAGGCATGGTGGTGTACACCTTTAATCTCAGTACTTAGGAGGAAGAAGCAGGCAGATCTCTGTGAGTTCAAGGCCAGCCTGGGCTACATAGGGAAGTCCAAGACCTCAAGAACAACACAGTGAGACCCTGCCTCAAAATAATAATAATAATAATAATAATAATAATAATAATAATAATAAAGAAAATATTCTACTTATAGCGACCCGGCTTGGCTGCCTCTGAGAATACACCCCTCTGCCCAGTACCACAAAGTCAACTACCAAGAAGGAAGTCATTTCTAGGCAGAATTAAATAACTGTCCAAATGCAGAGAGTTCAGGTAGCTTCTGTTTGATTTAAGACTATTTGTTTTTGAAGAAAGAAGTAAGAGCTTGTTGTTAACCCCATCTCCTGAAGTTCATTTGGTGTCCTCATGTCTCAGATACAGTTACTAGAGCAAAAGATCCCAGCTCAAAGAACTCCGTGCCTAGGAGGCATCCTGGAAACCAGGAAGGCTGTGTTGGAGTCACGAGAGGAAGCTCTGTCTTTCAGGTTCTCACGTAACACAGACCACGGAGCTTTCTGGATCCAAGGATAGAGATGGGAACCACAGAAAACATGGAAGATGATATGGGTGCAGACAAGGCCATTGACATAGATACATAGAAACAAAGATCTCACTGACAAGACACACAATCAAAAAATTTAGAGACTGTCTATTAGGTTATAAAGAGTCTTTAAGAAAAGCAAACGTGGAATCCATGCCTCCATCCAACACTTTGTGACCCAGGACCTCGTTTTACTCCTCAGAGACTTTGTCATGGTCTACCTATTGATACTAACAATATCAATCTCATGAGGCTCATCCTGAGAATGGAATGAGTGAATGATGTGAAGCATGACAAACATTGCCTGCCTTGTACTAACTTTTTAACTTTTGTTAAAAAGGGGTGATGTGGGGGCTGGACAAAATTGATGCATTTAAGAGAAAAGCTATTTCCTTGAAATGTCTGAAATATTCTTTGAATTCTTTGGTTTAACTGTGTGTGACATGTAACAGGAAGGAGCGACCATAGACTGAATCTCTCTGTGGTGCACTTGACGTTCGTTTCTGAGAACTAACAGCCTCTTTGGTTTCTCTGTTCAGGCTAAGCCACGCCTCCAGCGAGGTGGAAGCTCTGCCTCCCTCCACAACAGTCTCATGAGGAATAGCATCTTCCAGCTCATGATACACACCCTTGACCCACTCGCTGAAGGTAACCGTCGGGCTTTGGTTTGGGAGCATTGTTTTGGGAAGAGGAGGATGTCAAAGACTTTGCTTCAAAAACAGCATATGTATGCTGAGTTCACTCACAACTGTCAAGCTCCTCTTGGTTAACATCCTCAGATGAAGCTTTGACTCTTCTATGTGCTTCATTCTTTACTGCTCAGCTCCCGGCAGGGTGGATTTATGACAAGAGTAGAATATGAGTCCCGTGTGCTAATTCCATCTTTTGATGCCTCTGGCACAAACACTGTTTCTTATGAGTCAGGGGACAGAAAGGTCTCCATCTGTCTGGTATTTTCCTTTATCACTTTCAAAACAAAGTTGTGTGAGAAGATAAATTGTATAACTTTAAAAAAAATAGAATAAAGAACTGTATCCCAAGGGAGGGCTGTGAATGGTTTGGAGACCGGTGTTCTCTGAATATCAGTGAAATGGTTCTATTTTGTCGCAGTTGGGTGGGGAAAGCATCCATCCAAAGAAACCATCATAACTTCTTGGGACCAGTAATTGAAGACCAAAAAGACCTGGTTCCCCTCCCAGTGTGACTGTAAGAACCACTGCAAAGAATCCAATATTATACCATTTCAGTTTTACTGAGTCACAAAGCCAAATACACTTTGTGTCTTCAATTGCGTAGGTGTCCTAAAAATGATATTGGTAGTAGATAGATATCTGGTATAGCTAAATAAATAACTGGAGTTCTGCCACAAGCAAGGAGTTCAGATACAACTAAGCCTATCCTTCCACCCCTGGATCTTTTTGTCTTACCTACTAAAGGGATTGTGGGAAGAATAGACTAAGTATGTACATGTCACGGAACAAGATACAGGAGATCTGATTGTCAGTTACATTGAATATATCAGGGTTCTCACTGAAAACTAACCTTTGATAAAGTTATTCCAAACTAGAGACACTCAATGTATAATGTTAATTTATACATTTAACATGGTATAAATGACAACTGAGGACCCAAAGACCAGCTCCTCAGACCTTGATTGCTCCACTCGACACAAACCTCTCACTTAGAATAATAGGTGGGGACCACAGGTCATATCCCACGTTAGAGCGTTTCAGTTACAAAGCATTCATACTACCCCTGGACCACTGAGTCACCATGATGTTCCTAAAGAAATCATGCTGGTTCTAACTGTAGGCGATAGCCTTGCAAACAGGGGAGATATCATTACTCTGTTCACCCAATGGTCCAGTTAATAAGGGAGTTATACACAGCCTTCTTTTATTTCCAGGAAAAGGAATGAAGGAATCATTTTCGCTTGCTCCCACCTCCTGCTACCGTGCAGCCATGTGACTTTGGGCAAGTTATGGTCTCTCTCTAGAGCCTGCCATCTTCATCTATTGTAGCACTTTTCTCTATTGGACATTTCAAAGTTGACAAAGCATTCTCACCCCTGTGAATTTATGTTCTGCTTCATATTCTCCCTCCATGGAGTATTGTATCACCAACAGATCCTAGCCATACCTGCTGCTTACACTTAATCATCAAGTTCTGGGAGCCATCTTCTTCCTTCCAATGCAGCTTTGGAGCTGATCCACTTGCATAGCTTCCACCTGTTTCCCACAGAGCAGTCCAGGTCATCTTTAAAAGTAAACCCCTGCTTAGCAACCTTGAGTGGCTTACCAGGGTTCTTAGGAAAACTATGAAACCCTCACCTCCCTAGGATCCACTTCAGATTCCAAACTCAGCTGGACTTGTTTTGTTTAAGGCACATGGGGCCCCCATCTTCAGATAGCTGCTCTCACAGGTCTCACAGTCTTTACTGTTTCTACCACTAGAACTTTTTTCTTCCCTCCATCCCTCTCCTACCTCCCCTTGCTTCCTTCCCTTCTACTCTTCGTCCCTCTGACCATCAGCACAATCCAGGACCTCCAACCCTCATCTGTGTAGATCTTTCTGCTTTCCTTATGGTGTCCATTATATAGTCTCTGTAGTTGTTTCCTAATGCCCGGGTTCTTGAGAGCATATGTGCCCTGTAATTCAGCAGCTGTCCCCAAAGCCCAGCAGTGCAACTAGCATGTCATTGTTACTAAGATTCAGGCAGGCCAAGCAACTTGGCCCAAACCATCCACAGTTCTAAAAACCCCCCAAAGCCACTTGGACTTGAGACTGTCCAATGAATTGTTGACTGGTTATTTTGGGACACTATCTTCTCTCCCCTTCTTATTGCCCTGGAGAATCAACCGAGAAAAGAAAAGAACAGTTGTTTCTGTCATGGCTCTGTCCTGGGCAGCTGATGAGGAATTTGAGTGTGTGACATGGTAGTGTTACATGGTAAAGAGGAAAGGCTTCAGGCCTGGATGTTCTGACTCTGGATCTCACGTCTGCATATACTAGCTACGTGACCTTGAACAACCTTTCTCTAGCTCAGTTTCCTCATCCATAAAATCAGAGTGTAATGATGTCTACACTGTAAATGTAAAGATTAAAGGCATAGGTACACAGAGAACACAGCACACTGCCAGCATCCAAAACCAGTTCAGAGTTCTTCATATACATTATTGTGATGAGCAAGGACAGTGTGCAGAATTTTCAAACTTTTAGGTGTTCAAAGAGTCATCAAGGAAAAATGCCTTTCTCCTCTACTCTCCACCCCACTTTTCTCCAGTTCCCCAACCCTCCCTCACAGAAACCATGGTTTACAGGTTCTTGGGGCCCCTTTCAGAGAAGTTCTATCTTAAGTAAATTGGTGTGTGTGTGTGTATGTGTGTGTGTGTGTGTGAGAGAGAGAGAGAGAGAGAGAGAGAGAGAGTCTATGTGTATATGAATAAATGTGAATGATAATGAGTGTGTGTGCACACGCGCGTGCGTGCGTGTGCGTGTGCGTGTGCGTGTGCATGCGTGTGTGCATGTGTGCGTGTGTCTGTGTGTCTGTGTCTGTGTCTGTGTCTGTGTCTGTGTCTGTGTCTGTGT